TTGGGGGCCTGAGTTGCTCCTTTGCCCAAGTCCTCATGTGACCGTGCTGAGGCGGGTGCTCTGGCCTTCCCCAGGGGTCCACCCCCCAGTATCTGTCCCCAGGAGGCCGACCCGCAGCAGCTTCCTTCACCCATGAGCTCGCACTTGGAGGTGCAGGCCCTCCCCCAGAGCCACCCCCACCCCCACCCCGGCTTCGCCCCCTGCAGTGCAGCAGGGCGGTAGCAGCATCACACTTTCCAGATGAGGGAAGAGCCCCAGAGCCATCAAGGTCTCAGCCACAGGCCCCTACCCTCATCCCGCCGCCTCCCAGCTCCTTTGGGGATGGGGAGGGTGGGTGAGCGCTCAGCCACAGGCCGGGGGCAGCCCTGGCCCTCCCAGCCAGAGCCAAGCCTCCGTCCCTCCTTCCCCTCCCGGAACGCTCCCCACGAGGAAGACCAGCTGTTTTGTCCCTTTTCCGGGCCTGGAGTGGGGACCAACCCCAAGGCCCTCCCTCTCATGGGACTTGAACCCCAGTGACCAGAGCAAAGGATCTGAAGCCCCGTGGTTCCTCACCTCCCTGAGAGGGGCTTCCTGCCCTGGACGTTCCTGTGAGGGTTTCCCAGAAAAGCTGGTCTCAGTGAGGGAGCCCTGCCCAGCCCCGCCCCCAACCAGGGTCCAGACAGACCCTGGCCAGAGGCCAGCCCACACTGGTCCCACCATGACGTCGCCAGGCCCGCCTCCAGGTTCCACTCCCCACTGACACTTGCCCACCAAAGCCCAGAAGCGTCCTGCCCTGTCCCCGAGCGCCTGGGGGAGACGCGTGGTCCTTTGGAGGGAGGGGAGGGGCGGTAGCACAGGCAGCTCATCTTCCTGTCACAGCCCCTCTGTGGCCTGGCTGGCTGGGCACTCCCCATGGCCTTGCTCTGATCCTCACCCCCAGACAAGGTGAGCATTATCTCTGTGTTATGGAGGGGAAACCGAGGCTCAGAGGGCTCAGCAACTTGCCAGGCCAGAATGTGAACCCAGGTCTGCCTGACTTCCGCTTGCACTCTTTCCTCCATGCCACCCTGCCCAGCCCACCGCCAGCCTGGCTCCCGCAGCCCCCGCAGCCCTCCCACCAAGCGGCCTTTACAAAGGAAACCCAGGTGGGTGGAGCTCTGTGGCCCACACCTTTGGGACCCTGCCACCTGGAGGGGACATGTCCTTTGGTCCCTGACTTGCCTTTCCCTGATGGCTGAGGTGGCCACCTGCTCCTTGAAAGAGACTCCACACAGATCCCTCCCAATCTGCTATGGCCCTGGTGTCCACACCAGGTGTCCTGGTGTCCCTTGGTCACAGCAGAATCAAGGACAAGCCACTCGTTCCTGCTTTTTGTCAGTGCAACCTGGACCTTCATGAATCCTGCTTGGTGAAGTGGATGAAATGACACGTTGAAAAATCACCTTTTCGTTTCCACGGTCGGGATTCTTGGAGGTGGTCTCCGAGTTCCTGTTCTTCTGTATTCTGGAAAGCGGTCACATTGGCCGTGGCAGCTGAGGGTGGCGAGGGGGTGATGCAGAGTGGGTGGGATGGGCTAGGAGAAACTAGGAGACAGGAGGTCACTGGGCAAATTCAGGATCAGCTGCAGGCTCAGCGGGTGGGGAATCAGAGCCCATGGGGCCGGATCCAGCTGACGGTGGGTGAGGGCGTGGGTCAGAGCAATGAAGGGCAGAGGAGGGGTCGCATTGACAGGGAGCTCCTGAGGCTGCACAGGGACCAAGCGGGCCTTGTTCCTGCCAGACCCAGCATCCCGGCCAGGTGGAGCCCTCGGTGTGGCCCAGGCTGACCCTGGACAACACAGGCAGTCGTCTGCACAGTGGGATTTGGTGCTTTGCAAAAAAACCAAAAGGGCCCACCCGTCCCCTGTGCCACTTCACCAGGCCAGCCTCACCCCAAGCATGGCGGGTGTCCTGCGTTTCCATTTTCCAGAGGGCTTCTCTGCGCCAAGGTTGCTCAGGGTCTGAAGGATTTAGGAAGCCATAACCCCCCTCACCTCCCCTCACCCCAAGTTGTGAGGTGAATGTCAGCTCCATGGAGAGGCTGATTTCTCAGAGATTAGGAAGGAAAAAGAGATCTGAGATCCGAGGGATAAAAAAGGAAATAATACCACGTCTATACAAACTCTCTCAGAAAAACAGAAGAGGCCAGCATTACCCTGATAAGCGAAGCAGACATGACAAAGCCATAATGGCAGCATCTCTCACGTTGTAGACGCAGGAACCGGTAACCACATCTCCGTGCAGTCCCGTCCAGTGACATTTAGGGTGGGTACTGAATCTCGACCTCGTGGGGTCTATCCCAGGCATGTAGAGTCGGTTTGCCATTTTGAACCCAACTATTATAACTCACTATTCAGGAAAGTGGGTGCCGTGATTGGCTTTGAGCACCAAAGTGTATTCACTATGCCCGCGGGAGCAGACATGCACACTGCCTCTCTCACAGATGCCACACACCCTCCCGCCACCCGCCACCTCCCCTCCCCGGCTCTCTCCAGGAACCCGTGAGGCCATGGCAGGTTCCTGAAGGAGTCACAGCCTCCCTCCCTCCCAGGCTCTGCTCTTGCAGGGTCTCCCAGACTGGTTCGTCTGAAATGCCAGGCTGGCACTGTTGAGCATGGACCCTGTACCAGGCGTCGCCCAGGCTCCCACATGGAGGGCACCCCTGCATCACACATGACCCCATGGAGACCATGGCCAGTGTTATGTGACAGATTAAGGCACCAGGGGTCAGCAGGGGCAAGTCATCGTCACCAGGAAGTGCTGGCATTGGCCTGAGCCCGGGTCTCCAGCACCCCATGTTCCTGACACCCCACAGGATGTGCCCAGATGCCCACTGCCTTCCCAGGAGACTTTCCTTTTCCTGTTTGTCAGCCCCCTAAGCTTTGGGCGTCTGCCGAGAGCCCTCCAGTCTTCAGAAGCCCCCTCCTCATCCTAAAGACTGCAGAGACCACCCCCCACCCCCTGCAGAGGCAGAGCCCCCGGAGGACCCGTGTCCTGCTGGCAATGCGGGTCTCCAAGGGCAGCAGCCCGTCCCTGGCCCAAAGCTGGAGCTGCATTCTCAGGGGATGACAGATTCCAGGGGATGACAGATTCCGGAGGGCGGGGGCGAGGAGAGAAGGAAACCCCCTCAGCCCTTCTGCTCAGCATCTCGTAAGTGCGGCGCCCGGGAGCATCTGCGGGAACGTGCAGAATGTATTTTAAAGACTCCAGAGGCAGCCAACGTCCGAGATTGGAAGTCGGGGGTTTTAACTGCAGTGGCCGGCTGGGCTCAGCACCCAAAGTCTCCTTCAGGGCACAGACGAGGCGCAGAATCCTGCACCCCCTGCGGAGCTGGGCGCGGGGGTCTCAGAGGGAAGCCTTGGGAGAGCAGGGGAGGGGCTTGGGTCCTGTGTGCAGGGGCATTGGCCCTGGGGGCACCACGGCCACTGAGGGTGTGCTATCTCTGCAGCAGGAGGGGAAGGTAGTCAAGCCTGAGGGCTGGGCCTGCAGAGAGCTCTGTGCCCGGGAGCCCCCGACACCCCTCCTGTCACAGCTGGGCCCTCAGACGGGAACGTGCGGCACCCTTGCCCTGTCCCAGAGGCGCCGGCCGGGAGAGGAGGTTGTTTTCCTCCCCAAAGGATCCCGTGTGTTATGGGTTGAATTGTGTTCCCCCAAAAGCCATGTTGAAATCCTAAGTCCCAGGACCTACAAATGTGACCTTATTTGGAAGCAGGGTCTTTGCAGATGTGACTAAGATGTACGTTAAGATGAGGTCATACTGGAGTGGGGTGGGCCCTGGTCCAATGGGCCTGCTGTCCTTATAAGAAGAGGAGAGACACAGACACAGGGAGAAGGCCCCGTGACGACAGGCAGAGACTGGAGTGACGCCCCGCAGCCGGGAAACGCCCAGATGCCAGCCACCTCCAGGAGCTGGACGAGGCGAGGCAGGGTTCCACCCAGGGTCTCGGTGGCAGCGAGGCCCTGCTGACGCCTTGATTTGGGACTTCTAACCTGCAGAACTGTGAGAGAATAAATTTGTTGTTTTAAACCATTGGGCTGCGGTTGCTCGTTAGGGGACGAATGCACTGTCGGCAGCAATGGCCAGCTCATCCCTGTCTCCCCTCCTGTGGGCCGCACAAAGCCCCATGCAGGAGGCTGGAGTTGGGGGACTACGGGCCGTGGGCTGTGACGGACAGACCGATTCCCACCCTGCGGGGCTGCCGCCTGGCTGGGCAACCTTGGGCAAGTCCCCTCCCCCCTCAGGCCTCAGTTTTCTCATCCATACGATGGGCACGTTCGTCACCCCACGTCATGAGGTTGTTAAGAGGCATCGATGAGTCTACACACAAAGCACCTGCTCCAGGTATCTGGAGCCTCAGCCTCAGCCTCAGCCCGACACATCTTTACCCCGACCCTGCACTCTGGGTGCAGCCACTTGGAGCGTCCCACTCGTCTGTGACGGGCACGGCTCCTTTTGCCTCCTGGCCCTCGCCCGTCCATTCTCTCTGCCCAGAACACTCCTCCCCGCCTTCCTGGCTCACTCCACTCATCTCCACCATCTCGCCTGCCCCGGGGCCCGGGCCCTGGGACCTGATCGCAGCACTGAGGGCCCTGCATGTCCCTCATTGCAGCTCCCCTCCGGCTCGACTGTGTCTGCCTGGTCCCTTGTCCGCTTCCTCGGGGGCAGGGACGAGGCCAGCAGGGAGGGAACGAGCTTCCTCAGACTGGAGTGAGAGAGGGTCTTGGCCCCCAGGGGAGATCTCAGCGGGGCCTTCAACTGTCCACGACCCAGGCCCTGGGCAGAGCGACCCGTGTGGGGCCTAGGGGAATGGAGGGGCCCCTGACGGTGACCTCAGGGAGAGGACCAAGCAGCCTAGAAAAGTCTAGGAGTCCACTGCCCCTGACCACCTGACACCATGGCCCGACTGGGGCCGAAGAAATCAGCCGCCACGTTCACAGACTCCTGCTGGACACTCCCCCGAGGATAAAACCACGCGGGACAGGGTCTGATCGCATGTCATCTGTATTGTCACAGGAAATGCACATCCATAACGGTTGACTTGGAAACGACCTATTAGGTCACACGGAGTCCGGCCCCTGGGGGCCAAAGTGGCACCGATGCCCATGGCCATGGGCTTTCCGTAGGCGGTGACCTGGACACCTGGTCTCCCCAGGCTGAGGGCCTGGCACCGGGAGAGGCCAGCTCGCGCCTCAGGCCCTTCGGCTCCTGGGCAGCGTCTCCCAACACATGCTTGAGGACATGGTGGTTCCTTGGGGGGTTAATGGCTGTTCCATGAGAAAAGGGTTCTGTGGTCAAATCAGTTTAGGAAGCATGGGTTAAACAAGGTTCCACACAAAGCTTTTCTGCAGGACTTGTCAGAGCCTTTCTGACAATAACAGCCCTTGTGCATGTTCAATATGGGGCAGAGTTTGCAGCATTTCCCAAATTTATTTGACCACAAAACCCTTTTTCTTCCTAAAGCATCTTGCAGACTAGTGTCCGGTGGCTAGTGTCCATGGGGTGCCCTTTGGAAAGTGCTGCCCTAAGCTATCGATGACCGTTAATGGCAACGGCACCTGTGTTGGGTGGTGGGTGGGGGTATTTGGCCAAGCATCGTGCTGTGGCGTGGTGGGCATGGCCAGGAACTCAACAGTCATGACGAGGAAAGGACAAGACAGGCTCGGCCTCTGCCCGCCATCTTGGTTCTCGCCTTTTGTCTCCAGAGCAGAAGCTAAGCAGGGCTGTCCCCACGGCTGGGCCGAGGCCTGCCCAGGGCGACTGGGAGTCCGAGGAAAGCACCGGGTGCTACTGGATAAGCCAGTCCGCAGGTGGGCCCACCTGAGTTCACCAGCCTCCAACAAGATGAGGAAGATGAGCTGAGGGCGCCTGGTCCACCCCTCCCCTGTGGGCCCTGCCTCCTCCTGCCACCTCTCTCCAGCCACCCCAGCCCCGGAGCCGCAGGTGGCGGCTCACCAGGCGGAGATGAGCATCTGGCAGGTGTTGGAGGACATCCAGACCAGCTCCACCAGGCGGAACTGGAAGTAGCCGATGATGAAGCCCGAGATGACGTCCGTGATGTGATGGCGTCCGATCATCACGCGGGACAGGCCCACGCAGAAGGCCCAGAGCACCAGCAGGATGCGCAGGGGCACGGCCAGCACCAGGTGGCTGAGGAAGAACTTGGATACCATGGCCGCGCGGCTGGCGTGCCCGGCGGGGAAGGCGTAGACGTCCATGGTGAGGTAGTCCAGGAGGCTGGGGCTCGTCTCGAACGGGCCTCGCCGCTTGATGAGCTTCTGCACGCCGGCCACCGTCATGATGTCCAGGAGCAAGGCTGTGGGCAGGAGAGGGGCCCGAGGGACTGTCAGTAATGCCTCCCACCTCGTCTCCCCTCCCTCCTCCCTCGCTGTCTCCCCTCCAGCCGCACTGGCTTCAGGCACATTCCCACCTCAGGGCCTTTGCCCGTGCTGTTCCCTCTACTTGTCCTTCCCTGGGAACATTCACGCGCCCTCGCTCCCTTGGCAGAGAGGCCTTCCTGCCCACCTGTTCTCAAAAGCCCATCGCTCTCTACCCCTCCTCCTTGCTTTCTTCTCCTTTACAGCCTTTCTCACCACCTGCCACGTCACGCACTCTCTCCCCCACTGTGGCGTGCGCTCCATGAGGGCCAGGGCCCTGTCTGCTCATGGCTGGGAGGCGTTTGCTAAAGGCACTGAGAGAGAGAGAGTGGTGACCAGGGCTCTGGTGGGCCACTACGGGCCCCTTGGAGGATCTGTAGGGTCCCTGGGCCGGTGATCTTTCTCAACCTCACTGAGGACTACGCCTGCCCTGAGAGCGAGATGTTACCACCCGCCATCTTTTTAAAGTTGACGTGACATTCATGTGACACACAGTGAACCGTTTTCAAGTGTACATTTCGGTAGTATTTAGCATACTCACAAGGTTGTGCAACCACCACCTCTATCTAGTTCGGAAACATTTTCATCACCCCAGAAGGAAACTCCATACTCGTTAAGCAGGCAGTCCCCGTCCTCCCACGGCCGCTGGCCATCACCGTCTACTGTCTGTCTCTATGGATTTGCCTCTTCTGGACGTTTCATATAAATGGAATCAGACAGTGTGTGGCCTTGCGTCTGGCTTCTTGCACGTGGCGTTGTGTTTTTGAGGGCCATCCTGTTGTAGTGTGTGTCAGTGCTCCTTTCCTTTTCAGGGCTGAGTAATATTCCACCGTCTGGACCTACCAGCATTTGCTTATCCATCATCCATTGATGGGCAGTTGGGTTGCTTACGCCTTTTGCTGTTGTGAATGGTGCTGCGATGAACAAGCGTGTGTGAGTGTTTGCTGACGACCTGCTTTCCGTTCTTGTGGCTACAAACCCAGGAGCGGTCTGGCTGCATCAAATGGTGACTCTATGTGTAACTTCTCGGGGAACCACGAAACCATTTTCCACAGCAGCTGCGGCGTGTCGTCCCCATTTTACAGAGGACGCGACGGAGCCTTGGAGCTTGGAGACTTCATACCTGCTGCTCTTTCTTTCTGGAATGTTCCACCCTTTCCCTCGCTGCTGACTTATTCCCCCTCATCCTTCAGGCCTGAACCTAAATGTCACCTCCTCCAGGAGGCCTTCCCTGACCTCCAGGCAGGCCAGGCCCTGAATAGTACATTCCCAACACGTCACATTTCTCCTCCTGGCACTTACTCAGCTGCGACTAAGGAGGTCGCTGGGTGGAGAGGTGCTCAGTGTCAGCTTCTCGCCCCGCCCTCACCACTGCTTCTTGGAGGCCAGGGCTATCTCTTGGTTCATAGGTTTATCCCCAGGACCAGACAGAGTGGCAGACTCCAAGTATCACTTGAGTCACTGGCCTGGGGCACAGAGCCAGAGGGCGGGTCTCTTTCCCCGTTGTGGGAACATGAGGGAGACCTGGGTCTCCATCCATCCTGCCTCCACCATCACCCTGCTGTGTGGCCTTGGAAAGGCTGCTCTGCCTCTCTGTGCCATTAGATGAATACATGACGCCAAGGCCCCAGTTTCACCCAGCTGATCACGGTGGCACCGGGGACAGCCAATGTAGGGGTTCTGGGCAAGCCTCGCCCACCCTTAGAAAGGCCCTTGGAGGCTGCAATGAGGTCACAGCACGTGGAAACCCTTCTTCAGGGGACACATAAGGGGAAACCAGCATTGTGGTACAGTGGCGAAACTCACGAGTGTCAGTCAGAGCCCTGGGTTCAAGTCCCGGGCCTGGAGCCTCCCTGCGGTCTGACCTTGGACAAGTCACCCAACCTTCCTCATCTGTAAGATAAGATCATGGTACCTACCTCCTGGAGGGGACGTGGCATGGCGCCTGCAGGGTGACCAACCGTCCCAGGTTTGCCTGGGACAGAGGGGTTTCCAGGACACAAGACATTCAGTGCTAAAACAGTGATGTCCCAGCACGCAGGGACAAGTGGGTCCCCCCACGTGCCTGGCGCACAGGAAGAGCCGGAGAATTATTGGTGGAGGATTATCATCAAAAGAGCTCGCCCAGGAACTTTGCAGCCCATGTCAAAATTGTTGGCCTGCAACCGCTCTTGCTCAGAAACCAACACAAAAAACTTTGGGGAAAAATGACACCATAAATGCTCACTGCAGAAGATTTACAAAGCAGAAAACAAAAGTGAGATATTTTTTTTTTTTGCAGAGAAAGATTCGCCCTGAGCTAACATCTGTTGCCAATCTTCCACTTTTTTTTCCTCCCCAAAGCCCCACTACATGGTCGTATATCCTAGTTGTAAGTAAAAGTGAGATTTTAAGTCACCTGTAATCCTGCCACCCAGAGTAGCCACTGTTCTGGAACCTTCTATCCATCTATAGAGCGTAGATTTAATAAAAGCTGTAACATGCTCTACACATGCTGCTCTGTAACCTGCTTTTGAAAGTCTTGGCCCACTCCCCGAGCTGTAAGCATGAGGCACCTGGTGTGTTCATTTAACAGCTACAGCCCTGGGCATTCAGACTGCTCCCAGATGGCACTGCGCTCCCCTGTTCATGCAGAACTTCCCGGCCTTCCTCATTTCCTGCCCTCCGCAGGCTTGCTCCTTGCAGTCTGGGCTCTTGGTTTGGGATTTGAACCCCTGGCCTCTCCTGGGCCTGCCCCTCTCATTAGCCACAGTCTGGCTGATGTCTGTCCACCCTGCGACGTGCCCGGCCAGCTAGGGAGGGGGCAGGAGAAGGAGGCGGTGGATGGAGAGGCTGCCCAGCCATGAGGGGAGGAGCCTGTGGGAGGGAGGGAGGGAATCTTGTCCTATATGCCCCCACAGACAGGCATTTCCATGGCAGCTTCTTCCCAGGAGCCCAGGCCTCCCAGGAGGCGGCTGGCCGGGGAGGTATGTGGCCAGCCAGCCTGCATGCTGCTGAGCCACAAGGAGGCCAAGCCCAGGCTGGGAGCCATCTGGAGCCTGCAGGAGGTCACAGTCCTGGGGGGAGAGAGGGACCAGGGACTGCCAGATCCCCAGGGTAGGTGGGTGCTGGAGACAGGCGGCTGCATCTGACTCCTGGGATTCTGGCCTAACCGAGGAGCTGAGGCAGGAGGCCAGGCCAAGGCTGCTCCCTCACCTGGCTGACAGGCTCTCTCTGCCTGGGGAGGGGACAACTCGAGGGGTGGGGGTTAAAAGTGCAGGTTCCAGAGTCACAGGTGGGGCTCGAGTCCCAGATGCTCTGCTAATGAAGAACCAGTCCCCTCACTTGTCAGAGCCTCGGTCTCCCCACCTGTAAGAGGGGCTGTGGCAGGACGAAAGGAGCTCGTTCACGCCTGGGAAGCATTCAGCGCAGCCAGGCGCGTGGTGTGGGGGGCACAGCTGGTGCTATGGGTCCTCAGCCCCAGCCTGGCCTGACCCCGGGAAGCACTTGAAGGTTTTCCGACCCCGCAGGCTGGGTGGCAGCGAGCAGGTGTGTCGGTGAAAGGGTGTCCTTCTCGGAGTTTCCGAGTCAAAGTTACCTGGCCCGGGTTCTGACACCTCCACCACCTGAAGGAAAGTCAGAGATTTGGGGCCCAGGGGCTGGTGGGCAGTGGCTGGCCAGGGTCTGGGTGCCAGGAGGGCTGCTGGGGTCTGGGGGGGGGGGGGGCGTCAATGAGGACCAGGACCGCCCAAGGGAGATCAAAACGTGACCCTGAGATGTGGGTCATCTGTGCAATTGGTGACCAAGTTTCTCAGCCAAAACGCAAGGCTCAGCAACTCGGCGAGTCCCTGCGGGTTTAAATCTGCCTTCCCAGACAAGCGTCAATCCTCCTGCAGGCGCCCGGAGAGAGCTGGGGCTGCAAGGAGGAGGCAGGAGGGAGGGGCAGCAGCCGCACCTCTCTGGGCTGCCTGCTGGATGCAGCGGGCTCAGGGCTCACTCTGATGCGGTGGCTGAAGGCAGGAGGGCTGTGCCTCGACCTCCCCAGGTGCCCCAGCTCTCCTCATGGGCCGTCAGGATCCACAGGCCAAGAACACGTTTCCAATTTTTTAGCAGCAAACATTTTTCTCCCAATGAAAGCACACACAAAGACTCAGTATATGAAGCAGATGGAAGAGGCAGCCCTGTGGGGAAGCTGGGGGGGTGGGGGAAGCTCCCCTGGTCCCCAGGGAGGCCTCTGAGGCTGCCCGGTCCCATGATTAGAAAACCTCGTATCTGGGCCTCTGGGAATCTGCTGCTGTTTCTGTCTGCTTCTGCCTCTTGAGGCCATAATGAGGTGGATACTGCCCCTTTGCCCCGTGCCCTTTGGGGACCATCAGCTAGCCTGGCCCGTCCCATCCGTGCCTGGTTCGTTCATTCTCTTGACCTCCAGTTCTTGGGCATTGCCGGTTCTTGAGTACATCAGGCATGGGCCAGGCCAGGGGCTGCCATCTGGCCACGGGGGGAGACTGGCAGTAGGGAATGGCGACACAGATAATTCCTTTACACATATGATGGGCCCCTGCTCTTGTCCCCTCATCACACTGCAGCCGTCTGACCGTCTGTCCGTCTGTCTGGTGCTGAGGGTTGGAGGTAGAAGAGGCAGTGGGACCACACGCTGAAACCCAGGCTGGCTCTCCAGCAGAGCCGATGGCCTCTGCCAGGCCTCCCACCACCATGCCCCTTCCTGCTGCCATGCAGGCCGCTCTCCCCTCCTCCAGCGCCACAGCCGGCCCTTGGTGTGACTGTGCTCCTGACACCGTCAGCAAGTTATCTGGGGCCCAGAAATAGAAGCAAATGGCACCATCACTCAAGGCTCCGTCAATTCCACTCACATGGCCCTGTCGGGTTCCTTGACCTACATTCCTTCCCGGACCCCATGGGGAAGGTCCGTCCGTCAGGAAGATCGGGGGTTAGGAGAGTG